CCCACTGTTTACTTGTGTTTGGGTAGCAACTGGGTTTTAAAGGGGCAGGACGCCCCCCCAGCCCCCTTCCCCCCACGTCACCTAAGGTGACTTTTCCCTCCGAGAGCAGCCCGCTGTCCACAGCACCGCTGTCGGCCGCGGGGATTTGCGCGCTCCCTGCACCGCACCGCCCGCCTCGGCCGCCCAATGTGTCCCGGCCAGTGTGACACACTCGGAGCAAATTGCTTAAATACCTGAAATAACTCCCCGAAACCCAGAGCGTGGGGGTTTGTGGGCGCCCAGGTCTTCGAGGGGACCTGTAGATGCAGGTAACACTCGGGTCCAAACCGCTCACTGGCCGTCGGGTCGGGTCTCCCTATGGACTGACACTGCAGCGAGTCGACTGTGCCCTTTAGCCGCTATTGAGGAGCTTAGAGGCAGATGCAGAAGGAAAACTGAGTCGGAGGTACCCCCGTGGCAGTGACTAAGCACACAATCCCTACCTGGAACAGACAAATAGTTTCGAGAGCAGTTTCGATTTATTACCGAGGAATTTACTGCTAAATGTGGCCTCTGTGACCCTCTTCGAATTTATCGTTTAAAGAACTATATTCATTTTCCTCGTTAGCTGTGATACGGTCGGTTGCATACAGAGAATTCGGGTTGAATTTTTATCTGTAACGTTATCTTGTTGTGTGCATTACTTAAATCACATGTATGAGAAACGTATCATCTGGATCGGAGATTGGAGGTAGGCTTTGAGAAATATAAAAAAGCTACAAGAAATTACATTTTAAAACAGCTTTGAAAAATTTTCAAGGTTGAGTCAGTGCAGCTTAATTCGAGCCCGCGGAAGAGGAGAGGACACAAGTGACAGCTGAATCGGGATTCTTTTTTTCACCTTTTAGTATAAAGTAGGGGGGGGAAAAACCAAACACAACAACCAAACAAACAAAAAGGAGGAACAGGAGTGGGCAGAGGAAGGTTTGGAGGTGTCCCCTCGCAAGGTAGCACAACCGAGGCTGCAGCTCGTTGCAGCCCGCGGCTGCCGCCGGCCGTCCGGGCTGGTTTTCGTTTCTTTTCATAAAGTTCTTTTTCGGAAATGCCCTATTGTAAGTTCCAGTCACCCTAAATAAATACTATCTCGTCTCTCGGGCAGTGAAGACACCGAGGTTCACAATTCCGGGAGAAGGAGCGATCTCTCCGGGCCGGGTGCGAAGCGGATGGAGGCGGCCGCGGGAGCCTGCGCGGGGCGAGGACTCGCCGGCCACGGCCGGGCTGGAGGGCTCCGGAGCGACCCCAGGGAGGCAGGGGCATTCCCTCGTTATTTTGCTTTCTCGAGCGAGGCCGCACATTTCAAGAACGAAGTGGAAAGGGGACTTTTCAGTCCCATTTTCCGTCCCGCTCTATTGCTTGTGGATGCCAAGAAGGACCCTCCCCGTGGACACAAGGATCGGAGTGGGTTCTCTGGGGAGAACCATAATTTCTTGTCCTTTACGGCAAGGAAAAATAAGCCACAGTTGCTGGGGGACGGGGGAGAGGTGGAAGGAAACCCCCACAACCAAAACCAAATAACAAAATAAAAACAAAACCAAACGTCCTCAAACCCAAACCGACCAACCAACAAAAAAGCCTCAAAGCAGAGGGAACTGAGGAGGGGGCTGGAGCGGGGCTGAGCCGCTGCCCGGGCTGGCGGCTCCCCGGCTGCCCGGGGCACGGTTCGGGGGGGGAG